TAAATGGCTTGTCAAATCAAGTCCTTTTTTGCTGTGCGGGACGCATTAATTTGCAGTCACGTTCGGTCATATTGGAATCGTTTAATCCGATGATTCGTGCAGAGAGCTAAAGACCTTGCAACAACTTTTAAGGGGTCTTGTTTCAAATTTCTGTCCTACCCAATATATCCTTATATCCAGTGACAAATTTTTCACCGTTCATGCCGGTCGACCGCCTATTAAAGGACATACCTTTTGTATTAATTGTTATTTTTTTCTCGTCATAAATATGCATGAAATATTTGTCACTGGAAGTTAAGCAAACAACAACCAATCTCTTATTGTAACCCGATTTTTTAAAGGAAGAATCTAGTTATTAAAATGGGTATGTATATACATCAGACAGATTTTGTGTATCCTTAATCAAATTTTGAAGATTTTCATTTATGTTGTTTAGAAGTCATGGTCTTTGTATATACATCATTTGTCATGTGGTATACTATATGTCCTGTATGCTGTACACTTGGATTACGCAATGTCATATTTATCATATATGCTTTATCCAATAAAATATTTGTAATTGAATATAAATATATAATTATATAAAATCGAATGAAGTCTTATGATTTCCCAGAATTGTTAATATGATGGAAAGTCCAAACAAAGCACAACTTCATTTATAATAGATTCATAAAACTGTCACAAGTACAAACTTTTCAAAAAATAGATGGAAACAATCAACAATAAAAATATGCACGTTCTACAGTTGAACTCGACCAGCCAAGACACTCGGTTATTTATCTAAATTTATTTGAGAATTCAGATCAGTAGCTTATAAATAAGTATTCGCCAATAAGATGGCAAGTGAGGTGCATCGATATGATATACAAGAACTGTTATCCTTAATATATAATGTATAATAAAAAATGCACCAAATGCAGCAATGATAGATTGTAATAAAGTTTGCATTTCTCCCCTCTGGACACTCGCATCCACAAACACATAAGGGGCAATGAAAAGGGCTACCACACAATTAAATTTCAAATAAACATGAACACATCTATATTACAATAACCAAGTGCGTTTCAAAACACTTGTTTATGTATTTTATTTGCAATAGTTTACCTATACAAGGTAATGTTGAACACACGAAAGTTGAAAATTATTCTCCTGTTTTTAAACAGTCACCAAGATTACTGCAACCATTACTGATAAGAGTGAATGTCGTTATAATCTGTTTTATGCATAAAGCTGATAAAATGAAAACTATGTCAAATGTTAAAAATCACCAGAACAGCTTCTGATATATTAGTAAGACAAATGTATTTGAGAATGTTATCATGAAAAAATAATGTTTTGATATTATAAAATTAATTACACATTTTAAGACAAATTGATGCAATTCCCTCTTTGATGTACTTTCTCAAAATTTCCGAAATCTACAAGGTCTACAATCACAGGCGTTTAGAATATTGGACCCGTCTTTTATTTAAAATTATATTTTTGGAATTTATTCAAAATTAGAATACAGGGGCATCGGTCAGACAATACTCATATTGTTAAATAGCAAGAATACGTTGAGACGTGGGAAAATAAAAGTAAAAGTACTGAAAAAATTAAGAAACTATGCCACCTCCAATTGTAAGAGGACTAATTGACTAACTTTTAGACTATTACACTATATAGAAAATAGTTTTTTTTTGCTTGTCACTATCAGAAGTTTGCCCCCTCTTTACACACACACACACGTTTTTCAGTCTTCTCAATTTCTTATTAGAAGACTTTTTCTATACGAAGGTATACACAGAAGTGCCGTCGGAATAATCTCAGCTGCGGTGGAGTAGGCTTTAATTTTAACCTTTGTCCGTCTGTACGTCCGTACGTATTAATGGAAAAATTAGCAATTTAAAATCCGCCTTTTTACGTTAATTTGCCGTTTCCGCACTCTCACTGTATTTGCCTCAACCAAATGTTATGAAACTTACATACAATGCTTATTACCACTTCAACAATGGACAAACCCCATACTGCATAACAAGACAAAATATGTCAATATATGGAAAAGAGGGCTGCTTCAAATGCCATGCATTGCAAGTTACTACTCTATCGCTGTAGAAGAGTCCAAATATGTACTGATGCATCACTGAGTGACTACGTGTTATCACAACTGTAATAATATTGTTTTTATTGGTATAAATATGATAAAAATATATAATTTATTTATCAGTAAATTAAAATCAAGGTTGATATTTTTTTATATAAATATGCACATTCATGGCTCTACATTCTGTCGGTACCTACCTGTATCTTGGCATTACACAAGGTCATGTGTTTCTCTGACTGTCAACGATGTTTACTAAACCTTTTGGATGTTGGATGTGTACTGATTGATATTTTTTTTTTAAATCTAGTCTTAGATGCATGATTGTTTTTATTAGTTGTTATTTGCTCTGAATTAGCTGTCAGTAACTGCGAGTACTCTAAGATCTGTTCTTAGTGTCGTTTTTTGTGGGGATTTATAAGTACCTTTCCGCGTTCACTCTGTGTTTTTGTTAGAAATATTTTTGCGTTGTATCCATCTGATGATTGAAGCCCTTTTCAACTGATTTTTATAGTTTGTTATTATGTCGTATTGTAACACCACTGTCCCTGTTTATGGTGGTGGGTTCGGGGGGAGGAGGGGGCCTTTTTATGGCTGATTATGTGGGATGGGTTCCACTCGTTGATGAAGGCTGTACGGTAACCTTTAGTGTCATTTTAGTCTCTTGTGGAAAGTTGTCTCACTGGCAATCAAACCACATTTTCTTATTTTTATATTATGACTGATTATCAAGTAGTGAACTGAAGAAAAACATAAAACATTCGAATTAGGATTGAAGTGACACTCGATATCCCCTTCCCCCGGAGTATAAGTGATATCAAGAAATTTTTCACTTGTCTGACATAATGTCGGCACATATCCTTTCACACGTTTTATTGTTTGTATGTGCACAATTATATTATTAATCTTCGGTATATAAACGATCAAGTGATAAGATTAAGATAATATTTGTTGTGTTTGAATTTCAACTGCAATTATACAGGATTATCTTTCTTGATTTGCGAGTTCTGAATTTTGAATTTTGAATTTTGAATTATGAATGATCCTTCTCGGCTTTCGTACCAATCAATAAATCAATTACAACAACAAAAAAATCATGCCGATTGACAGTCATATTAACGAACAATTATGCTTTAAAACAATATTCGTTTGTTTACCTAGAACTATAAAATTTAATTGAACGAAAGATTTACAATAATCTAATCGCACGTTTAAACCGTATTGCGAAATAAGGTGCTGTTATCAATTATCCTTTGTTATATGTATCTTTAAACCCATAACAGGGATAATGTGAAATAATACCAATTTGATTAACAAGTGTTTGTTCATATATGATCTTATCGACCGAACACGACCAACATGTTGTTGGTGCCCTGGCACTGCGGTTTTCTTAACCAATATTAACTTACCGCCACTATATGGCTAACAGTGCTAAGAATGACGTGAAGAACAAACCATCGATCAACCCATGTTATTGGTATATCCGTGTATTTATTGTGAGAGAAATGTTCGCTACAAAATTTTTGAATATTCACTAAAAAAACAAAGAACAATAATGTGAAATATAAACTACACCGGTATAATCATAACACTTAGTTTTGGACGTAGTCATGATCTTGTTTATATATGTTTACCATGTTACAATTATGATTTTCCACCTTACCATTTTTGGTAATTACGAGTGTCTACCAAAAATCAATATACAATGTTACATGAAGTTGCCACTGTGATATATAGATTTGTTCAATTTCCAAGAAAAAACTAAAAACAAGTAAAAAAAGGACACGTGAGAAGTCAATACAGATATGTTTTTAAACGTGAGTTCATATATTTTGAAAGGTATTAATGTTTACACCCCTCTATTCATCGTCCACATTGCTTTATATGGTGGACTATTCATATTACACATTGCTTTATTTCGTGGATAATAAGTTTAATCTGTTTTGTAATGATTTTGAATTTATAATAAATCTTGTCAGTATAATGTCATCAATAAGCTTTAATTAAATGCTTCACTATAAAAAGATAATTTGTTAATGTTTTAAATGGGACAATCGAAATCGTCATATTTGGCATGCAGGAATTCTAGCATGAAGTCGTTTATATGTGTCAGTATAAAGATAACAAGATAATGTTTAGATGCAAAATACTTAATGTCGGCAACAAAATATACATTTCACCTATATTAATGAGATGCAAAAACTAAAACCTAAGACATTGTTAAGATTTTTCGTTTTACAAAAAGCTAAAATTGAATATAATTAAAACAGAGTACGAAGTGACGATTCATTGGAAACAAAGTAAAATGAAATGACAAATTTAAAGATTAAACGAGGATAAACAGACCAGTCATAAAAAAATAAACGAATCAATAATTACTTACTTTTATCTTTTTAAAAATAAAATGATTCCAAATTTTTATTTTCGTCGTATACATATGAGATGATTCTCCCATTTTAGGGAGAGGTGGTGGTGGATATAGTAGAAATTCTGATAAGAATGTCATTAATTTGAGGGTATTCCCTTACTCCTGTAATGAACATCCATGTTTGCTTAATCAGGTGTTTAATAAAAATAATGTTATAGAAAATAAGATGCAGGAATTATTCATGGTTAAAAAATCCCGAAATGTCGAGGCAAAACAAAAATTCTAGCCAGTCATACATACATTGTATCAAAAGCAAATAACACATTTTCATTTGCTTGAATATACGTCATAATATAGCCTCTTTTATAACAAAATAAATTTGAAACCGCCTATAGAAGCATTTTATAGATATCAAAGGCAAAATGAAAAAGAAAAAGGTGCAACGCCCATATTTTGTTTCAACAAGATATTGCATACTGCTTTTTATTCACATACCACACTTCATTTTCTAATTGATTGGTTAAGCATTTACCTTTCATATTTTCTTTGCAGATTAATCACTTTGAGACGACATAGCATATGAATAATACATATAAAGGCTTGTGTGTTAGAAGTCAAGAGGTACGATAAGTTAAGTTGGCATAATGTCCGATTCATTTAAAGATCGACATGCAAAGTTAGGATGCATGGTTCTGAGATTGTTTCCTCAAGTTATGCAGATGATTTTAAGATATTATGTAACTCCACATTGGTTAAAACGAAAATATTTGCAGCAAGATTACCGTTTTGTTTTTATGGAAAATGAAATTGTTCTAATGGACAAGCTTCCAAACATGGACGAGTTTACAATTGAAATATGCTACAAAATACTTAGATCTGAAAATATGTTAGACGAACCTAAATGTAAATGGGGAAATGTCCCTCATGATGTAGAAGTGGAAATCGCTGATGATATACAACGGTTAATTAATGCAACAAATTCAATAACTAGCCTCAAACCTGAAGAGGTTACAAACAGTTATTCCGAAAAGTTGCTACAGGACATCAAACTGATAGTTACCAGAATGGATTCCTTTTTTAAACAAGACACTTTAAGACGTATGTATAACACTTTAAGCAGATCTGGAACAGATTCTACTTCTGTCTTACAAGACCTAGCACTGATAAAAGCAATTGAAGGTAAGTTTCACGTACATTAGGATTACTAAAGATATTGATTCAACGAAATTCTAATGAAAATGAATGTGTATATTAAATTTACAACGGTAACAAATTCACGTCCATCATTAACAATAATTTCTATTGTCATTTGTCAACCATATGGTTTCGAAAAAATCGCATGCAGTAGGGATGTCAATTCGACGAAGAATTACTAATGAAGAAGTCGTTGGATTTATCGAGCGATACTCGAGTACTCGCTCGGAAAAGTGTCTACAAAACAGAAAACAATAATACGCATTATACGGTTTGTTGAAACCTCTACATTTATTATCTTGGGCTTAATAACTGTAATCCAAGGCATGATCGACTAACGTAATTAATAGCTCAATCAATATTGTACCAATTAAGTAAACCGTGATTTAATAATTAAATAACCACCTTTTGTATATAAATCAAAGTCTTTAACTTAGTTTTGTGTTTTCTTCTATTATATGAGTTAAACATATTTCGTAATTATTGTAAACAACAATTTTGCACAAACATACGAAACGGTTTGTCAACAATAATTATTTGATGAATTCTATTGATTCTCTGCAAGGCGTTCTTTAGAAAATCTATTTATTGAAAGAAGGGAACAATCTTCTAACATGAAATTAAACCGATTAATCGAGTATCATTTTGGAATTCGATACTCGTTACTAACGAGCGATGCTCGAGTTTTCGTTGACATACATACTAGCAGGTTATTTACAAAACAAAACTTGTGTACACTGAACTCGGTAATATATGTTTACATTTAAACAAATAGCCAATACTGTTGTACCATTTGCGTTACGCATTCGCCCAAATCACTTGTATATCCAAGATATCCAGTCAGAAAACATGTACAACGATTTTACTTTTAATGTTTTTGCTTTACCAAAAATTTACATAATTGTCTAAAGTCATTTGAAATTTCTCATTAAAATTTTACAATTTGTTTAATTTTGAAGAAACAGAGTTCCTACCAAATATTGAACGTGAAGGGCAAGAAAGGTATTCTAGGCTTTCGATGGCCATCATCGAAACTTTTCCGAAAGTTCTTAGACATGTTATTCGATCAAGAATATCTGCAAGCCAGCTGTATCAAATGTGTGAGCCATTTCTAAAAATGTTTTATCACGAACAACGGACAAGCCTTAAAGAACTACAGAATTCAAATACATATGATTCGTTAGATATTACAATAGTTTATATACTATTAAGACAGTTTTCGCTGATACCTTCTCCAACAAAAGGATGGGGAATTATTCCCGACAATGCAGATACCAAATTGGGAGATGACATTGAACGAATAAGATGCTATAGAAATCAACTTGTTCATCGACGCGACACCAATATTGATAAATCGGAATTCGATGATTGCTTCAATAAGTTTCGTGATATTTGTCGTAGAATGGATCTCAATGTTTTCCAAAACACGAATTATGAAATGCGAATAATTGGACACAGAACATGTACAATGGATGCGGAAACGCAAATAAAATATGAAAATGCAATGAAGGAGATAGAAACCATCAAATGTAAGCCATCAAGTGTAACCTTTAAGTGCATTTTCTAATAACTGCAGTATTACAATATATGCATGTTATGACCCTTGTTTATTTTAATTAATTGAATCATTCCGTAATTCTTTCATAAACATGTATATGTTCCAACAAATTGCAAAATTAAAATATGGTTCTAGTGGTTCCATAAGATGAACAAACTATGGTATTTCCGGAGCGGATTTACCCAAACCAGACATGCTTAAACCAAACGTGTGAAGGGCAAGAATGTATACATACTATTTACCTAGAGTGAACTCCAAAACTCTAATGAAGGCTAACAATTAAAACAAAAAATGACTCCCAAGAAAAGTGTTGTTTGGTTTTTGTTTACAAACATTGCACGCTTTGTATCTTTAATTTTCATAGTTGACTTTTTATAAGTATTCATTTCAATAACAATTGTAGGCTTTTTAAAGTATCGTTCGATTTTTATATTTAAATTATCATTCGATATCAATGTTTATCCGTTATAAATTCCTTTAAATTTGAAAACAATATTTTAACACGTGTTCATTATTGTTTTTTTTTTATCGGAAATTTAGCTAAAATTCCAAAATACTAGTATTTTAAATATATTTGGAGTTCATGGAATTCTCTGTTTCTGTTTGTTACCTTGATTTATCTATTCCTATTCAATTTACGAGATTTGAACATTGTCAAACTATTGTCGCCTTTATTTATTACCTTATGAATGACACCGTTCGTATGTCTGTTCTGCATCCATAGGCATTTTTGTAATTAACGGATATTTTGCAAAACAAGAAAAAGTGTTCAGATTTTATCGCTTACAGTTACATTAAACAAATTTATTACAATTAACTTTCATATTTGCATGACCTTCACCTTGTGCATTTGTGACTCATTTCTATTAAACTACTAAGAATGACAAATTAATCTGAATAAACTTTGCAACTGCTGGAAAAACAGAATTCATGTCGGTGTAATAAGCATTTCTGTTTTCATATGATTTTTTATGTCAATAGCGTTGAAATTGTCTGTATGTTAGTTAGTGTTTTATTCCATTTAACCTTCTAATGCTATGACAATACTCATCCAATGTACTAGGCTTATAAAATACAAAAAAGTCCAAATAAAAGTGGAAGCTTTAGAACAGAAAATTCCGAATAGTTTTGCTCAAAACGGCTAAGGCAAACTATAACTGGCGGTTGAAAACCTTAATGATTCGAAAAAGTTAACATTGTATATACACAAATACTATGATGAACATCACTGATATTCCATGTCAACACAAAAGTGCTCACTATTGGGCTGATGCTTCCCTCGGGGATGAAACCCGAAACTACCCAGTGGTTTTAAAAACCAATCAAAGGTACCAGTGTTATATTTTTGAACGCAATACGAATGTTTTGACTTCATTAAACCCCTTAGTGGTGCTAGAATTAAGATATGTTATTTTTTCCCTAAAAGGGGCATACAGAAGGAAACTGCAACCCAACACTACAACATTCTTTAATAATAAAAATAGAACAACAGAAACTATTCTCTTTATATGGATTTTATTTAAATGAATGGGAATAAATCAGAAAGAAGAAAACATTTTCGACGAAACATAAGTCTAAAATATTCTAATGTTCTTTTTTTTCAAAACTGAACACAAAATGCTAATGAAGGAGTATGCACGTACGATGACAGTACAATCTAAACTATATTTGTTTTCAGTTTGATAACGCATTATTATGAAGAGAACAATTTAAATCGTTAAGTTTGTATTATACATCATTTTAAATTAACTAGTTACCTGATATACTGAACAAATATACGCTCTGTTAGTAAACATATAGTTCATATCTGAAAAGAACATTCTAAAACAAATACACTTATAATTTTGGCATCTTAGATGCTGTATACCTTATGTAGCGAGTAGAACAAGGTATGTTCAGGAAACGACATGTAATTTTTTTTTACATGATTACGTTTAAATTTCTATCAAATTGACTTTTGAATTTCAGTTTTTATAGCTTTGCAATATCTTTTCTTCTACAGTGAAATTTGAAAAGAGGCCAATAACGTTTTACTGGGGAGAAAACTTTGAAAGAAGTTTGAGGAATCTTAGATCACTTTTAAAAGAAGAAATATTAGAAGGTAATTCGTATTTTACAATAAATGTTTAAAGACGATTAATGACAGAGATAACTACAAATAGCAATATGATATTATAATCTAATATTTCATCATTTAGTACAATGCACAAAAGGACACAAAGAAAGTAATTAAGACTCAGGTGTCAAAATTAAGAAGTACTAGTGTGTTGAGGAACAATCATTGCACTTTTCTCGTGCATATATCGAGAAATAAGAAGATTTGTAAGCTTTAAGGAAGTTGATGTTAATCAATAACAATTTCATTATGTTGAACACAAGTTACTAAATTAATTATATATATCTATAGATGTATGGTATATTACCCCATACCCCTAAATTAAGGCGCCAGTAGAGATTACAAATGCTTAATATAGGGAAATTCGAACATAAAAAAAACAAAAATATTGTCATGCCATAGATACTGTGAAAGTTTCTTAATTTGAAACGCAGATTGATCTAGCATATACATAAATATAGAAAAATGTATGTTCTGATATACCTAAAGTTGAAGATGATTTACATATGAAAACAAGTACAATGATTTCTTTCTTCCATATGAATTCTCCCTAGTGATTAATGTCTTTCTTTTACTATTCCGTTCTTAATGAGTACTTAAAACAGTTTGTTACGCTGTTTATTTTACGAATTTGTGGACTAAATTGCATCACTACATATGCCTTCACCCAGGTAATAACATAGTCTGTGTTATATTAAATGTTCATACAGATAAACATAACATCATTATAATGTTATATATTATTTGAGTAGGAAGACAGAAAGTACGTTTACAGATCATTTTTCAAACCGAGGATGATGTCGAGAAAATTATTGATATCCTCAATTCGCTCAAAGACGAAATAAATGAAGGCTTAACTGGAATAGAGTTCATTGTTGCTACAAAAGGGAGTATAGTCCTGAATGCAGATATTCTGTTGGAAATGATTGAAACAGATGAAATGTTACAATCCACTCTGGCTTTATTTCTAGAAAAGATTTTGGAACGTATTAGGGCATTTACTACTGAAAGTATTGATATGGTTTTGTTACCTATAGAAGGTTTGTAATTAATGTTCCATTACTACCCTACACCATTTGTAATGACTCTATGGGTATTTAGTATACTTGGTGTTTCTAGAAGATTGTCTTCGGCGGTTCCATGCAGGTATGAATCTAAACTAAATGTTTATGAAAAATAATAAGTAAAGACGATTTTCTTTGTCATCATAAAATGAAAACTAACACTTTATAAAGTTTTAACGTCTGCTTTTATAGAATTGCCTTCCCAAAAAAACTAAAACCAATGATGAATAGATACAAGGATAGGTATGGAGCTATACGGCCAAATTAATCTAAGGTTAACTTTGCCTTAACGGAGTTCGAAATTTATGCTTTGAAATTTTAAAATTTATTGTTATTAAAAGTCACGAAGTATTGACTTCTGAGCTGGAGAACACTTTATAAATTTCGCACTTCTGGAACGCTATTCAGAATTAATCCTCCAGAAAGAACAATTAAACCCAAGGTATGACTTCCAACAGGAAATCTACAGACCTTTATAGAGAGGTTTCAATGATTTTTTCCGTGCGTTGCGTGGCATTATCTTAAACGAGATATCGGACCAAACCCTATTCTAACCGGGCGAGGTTGAAAATTTGTACAGCCCAACGGACATATCTCTTTAGCACAATTTTTTTTGTAAGATTTTTGTACGCCCTGAAAAGAAGGCCGTCGATGCATTTGGTACAACATTGGATTTCTAATGCCTTTCAGCTTTTTTATGATGTGGCCTTTTTACAATTCTGTGTGCAACTGATGAGTCTTAATTAGACGAAACGGTCAGCTGACGTACCAAACTGCAAGCCCGGATCCAGAAAACAACAATAATAAGAAATGTTGACTTCCCAAATTTTTTGAAGCTTAACATATCTAGGGAGCGTACAATTCATTAATCAATTTTGCAAAAAATTAAAGATCGACAACAACGATCATAATCTAAATGGACAAAACCTAAGCAGACAAAAACATCTGAATATATCCTACTACCTTAGCAGTGTGTTCATGATAATATTGTTGTACGACTTTATAACTTATTTCTTTTATTTTACCCTTACAGAGACAACACAATGGAATAAATCAAAACCCAGTGCAAAAGCATGTCATCTAAACTTTGATATAGAGGCTGAGTTGTTTGAAACCGATAATAAAATGGAAGAGCAACTGAGTAAAATATCTGAAGCCATTTCCAAACATTCCAATGGAAGAGGAACAAACAACAATATGACTGCAACGCTCTTACCTATTAGCCTTGGTAACTAGTTCATATTTATGATTTCATTATATGTTAATATATAATTTACCTGTAAATTTTCATAAAAATTAAAATATCACAAAGTACAATGATTTATCCTATCTATTTTTTTTTAGTTTGTTTGTAATGATAAAGCATACCTTAAAATACAGAGGCGAAAGATACTTAAGGGACATTCAAACTCAGACCAAAAGACAAACAACAGTACACAAAAAACAACATAGAAAACGAAAAAAAGAAAATAGAAAGCTAAGGGGTTATTGCCGCCAAAAGGCTATTTTTACTATTTAAATTTGAAGTTTTAACCAAAATTATACTAGATAAAGAAAAAATGTAAACAGCAAAATGATAGCAATACAAGATCTGCAAACACATCAACACGGCTTAATTTTTCAGTCGACTCCTGATTGGAGTTATATTGCTCTTTCTTTATGATCTTCATCTATTTGTTTGCATATTATGCATAAATTATAATAGATGAAGAACAATTTTACCAGCAAACATGCATATCAAGACAAAAACAATACAAAAGAGATCTTAGTTGAGAAATATCAAGTTTTCAATATTGCACATAGATGAGTGTGAGCAACCCAGTTTTAAAGCAAACATCTGTAAACGCAATAATATTGCTAAGGTTTAAAAAAAACATCCATAAAACGTCAGTAAAAGTTAAGTTATTGTGTATGCAATGATTATATGATTATTTGAGCGTACAATTACTAGTAAAATAACAGAGTCAGACAAACACACAGGCAGAGTGTCAGTTTTATTACTTTTTTTTGAAATTAGAAACAATCTTGGAAACTTATTTTGAAAATACTCGAAGTAAATAAATCTTACCTTAACAAAAAGAATTTCAAAAAGAATTAAAAACCAATTGTTCAGAGAACAATTGAAGGTCTTTCCACCCGAAGCAATATATTTTGATATAAAAAATATTAAAATTCCGTTTGAAACGTCATTTTCAGTGCCAAATGATAGCTTATTGTATGCTGATTTAAAAAATATATGGCTTCTATACACTTTTGTTTGAAATAAGGGAGATAATTGGTTACTTCCGGTTTGAAAAATGTAACTTCCAGTATCATTTGATAGTCTACTTGACACTGATTCCAAAAATATATGGTTCTATATACTTTAACATTATATAAGTAAAAAAGATAGCTACTTCCGGTTTTCACAAGGTCACTTCCGGTTGATTTTTTCAAATCACATGGCTTGCAACTTCATGTACAAAGTCCCATAGCTTTATCATGCATACATACTAAGTGAAAGCAAAGGTCCAAATCTAGAACATTAAGTTTAGCTGTGACCTTGACCTTAATTTCAAGGTCATAAACCAAGAACCTCAGATCAAAAGACCCTAGGTCTTTATTATATATGGTCAATGAGCTATATCATCATACGTGTAATATTAAATATAAGAGGGAGAAAACTCCCATTAAATGTCAACGTACCCTTTTAACCTAAATTTATGTGTTACGACATGTCGCAACTAATAATTCTGTACAAAAAGATTTCACTTATATCAAATACAGAAGGGGAAATAACTCTCATATGCATTCTCTATACCGCTTCGGTCAAAATTAAACAAAACATCCTGAGGATATAACGAACAAATTGGAAAATAAATTTGTCGTTTACTTTTACGGTTGCGAAGTATTAGAAATAACAAGAAAAACAGTGTTTGGGGAGATAACTATTCAATATCATATTCCAAATATCTAAGCGACATCTTGCGAAACAAACAAAAGCAAAGGTAAAAAATTAGGCGGAAGAAAAAAAATAATAATCAGAACAAAAGCAATAGGTCTTTTCGACGGAGAAGTGGAAAGACCTAATAAGTTTACTGTTATAACTTAGGAAAGCATTCTTCTGAAATAGATAAGTTTGCAACAGCCTCTTTATTATCAAAGTAAATAGGTACACTAGAGTTGGATTTCTGTTTATCGAGGGATTAGTGATTTATCATGACAAGAGTTCAATATAAACTGCAAAGCTAGACAAAACCAAGCCAAAGGCATACTAACAGTATTTTAAAAACTACTTAACATACTCATTTCTGTACCTGTAGTTAGTGGAATAGAGGCCTTGACATCCATCAGATGCACAGCAATTGTAACCAGTGAATCAAAATATAGTTCATCATCGTCTCTTGAAATGAAACAACTTCGGCATCAAACGCCCTATCAATCATCCATTGCCAATGTTGAACATTGTTATACTCAGAAACTAACTACAACTAGACAATAGCGAGAAGGACATAATCAACAATAGTTCAATAAAGATGAAACTGTTAGCTTATTTCTAAAGGGAGTTATTGATCTTGATGAATGACAGGTTCCTTGAATCCTATAGTGCTTCATTTAAGAAAAAGTAAAATCACAAAAATACTGAACTCCGAGGAAAATTCAAAACGGAAAGTCCCTAATCAAATGGCAAAATCGAAAGCTCAAACACATCAAACGAATGGACAACAACTGTCATATTCCTGACTTGGTACAGGCATTTTCTTATGTATAAAATGGTGCATTAAACCTAGTTTTATAGCTAGCTAAACTTCTCACTTGTATGACAGTCGCATAAAATTCCATTATATTGAAAACGATGTGTGAACAAAACAAACAGACATAATAGGTAAAAATGTCAAAAATAGAGAACAATAAGTATTGTCTGATTAAAGAATATGCTACTTATTTTTGCTATTTGTGTCGTAATGGTTCTGTCTCAGTGTCGTTTGTGCCAAATTATTTTTCTTATTAGCGTCGTGTATTTGACGTTTATGCACATTTTATTTAATATTTGTATCCTTCATTTACTTTTTCATTGACGTATATCAAACTTTGTTTTTTTTTATTTGTGTCGTTGGTGTTCTGCCTAACAAACGTATATGAAATTAATTTTTTTACAATTTTTTATAGTTCGAATACTTTGTCATTCACGTATATGCCACATTTTTTTATTATTTGTTTCGTTGTTGTAATGCCTGATAAACGTATATATAATTTTTGTCGTCCGAAACTTTTTCATTGACGCATATGCCACACTTGTTTTATCATTTGTGTCATTTGGTAAATGTCTCATAACCGTATAAGCCATATTTTTATTTTTACTTATTTGTTTGGTTGAAAAACTGTCTCGATGACGTAATAGCCATATTTATTTAATAATCGTGTCGTGAAGGTACTGTCGTATTGACGTTCATGCCACATTTTTTTATATTTGTTGTTGTTGAGGTAGTGTCGCATTCATGTTTATACCACATTTGATTTATTTGTGTGTCTTTATAGTACTATTTCATGGAAGTTTATGTTGCATTGTCACATTTGTTTTTGATTTGTGATGTAAGTGCACTGTCTCATTGACTACTACGCTTCACGTTTTAATTATTTGAAATTTGAAATCGACCAAAATATTATACAGGCATAAACAAAACCGTATGTCACGAAAGGACTTTTCGTATTGCGTATATTTTTATACACCCTTTCACGTAATATTTGCAGTATCACCATTAGAAAATAAGTTCTCGAAAAACGAGAATGAAAAAAAATACAATTACAATTACAAGCAAGAACGGATGTAATCCTGGTTTTGCAGTTTTCTCGGTAATATGTTGAAACTTTTAAAAGTGAATTCATATATATTTCTGCATTTTTTTTCTGTTTAGCTGTTTTCATGGTGAGGGCAGCCATTGTTTTAAATTTCCAATACAGATAGCATATCTTTACATGGCATTTAAGATTTCTCTTAAGTTAATTACGTTAAAAGCATTTTACAATTTAACACATATTCTCTGTTTCTTTTGCAACTATGGCAATTTTGATACTTTTTTAAAACTTATTCTACAAATTTTCATCAAAGATGACATATCTATAAATTGTTGTTACATTTGATTGTGTAATCTATAAAAAAAAAAGCTACTATAGTATTCTGAGAATAAAAGAAAGAGAGACGGAGCAAAAGTGATATGTCACCAGACATTCGTTCGAGGTGACATACTTATTCAATAAATTCTTCGTAAAACGATAAACGTAAAAATCTTTTAGACGACTGTTAAAGTGACCGAATGCTTTACGATTCTTTACAGTAGAATGACCATTTATTGCATCATCAGGACGTTCTCTTTTCAGTGGAATTTAAAATCAAATAATCTATTAATTAGATAACTGAAAATAACACTAAAAGATATTGATATTATCTTAGAGATTGTAGTCATAAAACTTTGAGCTTTTAAAAGATTCAAAATAGATAGTGCGCAAAACAAAAGACATGTTCCAAAATACGTCCATGTTAACTGCACAAGAATTAAATCCAATCATTAGGTCAAATAATAAATCTGATGATCTATTTCAGAAAAACCATCAATTACAGGAGAAGCATTCGTCCAAGCTCAAACACCTGTCAAACACAACCTTCCTGTGTTTGTCACTTTGCGTCAACAGTTAAATGTTCAACCGTCAAGGAATAAATATATGAATATTGGCAGCTGTATAAAAATAGGCAATACATTAGTGTTTACCGACTATTTAAATAAGCAACTCATTATACGCAATACAGATGTAGCTGACGTCCATTATTTTCCTATGCCTTATAGACCATGTTATATAACAGACATAGACAGTAATACTGTGGCTGTAACCTGTACACTCGACAGATTCATACTGATAATAAATATATCTACAGGTGATGTCACCAGTACAATCGAAACCAGTGATTGTCTTTGGGGAATATCATTTTATGATAATAACTTGTACGTTGTCATTGGTAGAAGTATAAAGCAAATGCATGTGATGGATCTGACGGGAAACGTAAGACGTACTTTACCTTTAGGCACTATCCGTGGCATTACAGTACACAGAGACAGGCTTGTTTGTATAGAACTTACAACAATCAGCTGCTTCTCTTTAGATGGAAAACTATTGTGGAAGTTTGAAAATGAGAAATATCGAAATTTAAATCGTGTGATAACAGATAATGAGGGTAATGTCTATGTGACTGATGAAAATACCAACACTGTAGTTGTTGTATTTGATGATGGTCAACATTATAGGGACATTCTAGCAGGATCAGATGAACTGTGCAAGCCCGCTGGAATTCACTTTGACAAAAAACAAAATATTCTCTTTGTTTGTAACAGACAAGACGGAAAGGCTTTCCTCTTTGACGTAAAAAAGAAATAAACAAAACATAAATGATCTTGCAGTACTCTTAAGGCAGTTAGTATGTTCTAATTGGAAACTGTTTGTGCATTTATTCAATCGAAATGAATTATTTCTTTGTTTTTCTTAGACTATTTAACATAATTGATTGTCATTTACTTTACAGAACTACAAATTACATATGTTATAAGATCATAATATATGCAGTTGTATTCAGTATTCAGATTAAAACAAAAGATCATTTAAAATTTTGTTACGTTCATGTTTAATATGACCGACGCGTATATATATATAGAGACATTAATTGTCGAAATCCGGATATGGTGTACAAAAAATATTTGCACCTTTGTTTGCGGTATACCATCTTCGCCGCAAGTTTATTGTTTTCTGTTTGGTATTAAATTTAAAGTTTAGATCCATTTATTACACCTTGTGATCCGTTTATTTGGCAATCGCCAATGGCAGTCAGCAGGATTTAAGAACATTTGTTGTTCGACCTGTTAGTCAAATGCGTTTTGTTAAAATATACTTTTTCACTTTTTTGATCTTTTGGAAAATGTTGTTTGTGCTGTATTTAGACCCCTCTAACAAGAAATTTGTTTTGCATGCACACGTATAAAAATTGCGGTTTTTATCCAACGCAATCATAGGTTTGAACGTTGTTTTCAATTTAGACTTGTTTAAATTTTTTCGTTTGGGCTTGTATTATATTTGCCTTCGGGTTTATATGATCCGTTCATCCTATTTTGACTCCTCAAAATTCAAGAGTCTATCCCAAATTGAGGTAAATTATGTGGCCTTCCAATAACCGTTTTGATTCCTAACATCACTGTAGAGACATTAATTGTCGAAATCCGGATATGGTGTACACAAAATATTTGCATCTTTGTTTGCGGTATACCATCTTCGCCGCAAGTTTATTGTTTTCTGTTTGGTATTAAATTTAAAGTTTAGATCCATTTATTACACCTTGTGATCCGTTTATTTGGCAATCGCCAATGGCAGTCAGCAGGATTTAAGAACATTTGTTGTTCGACCTGTTAGTCAAATGCGTTTTGTTAAAATATACTTTTTCACTTTTTTGATCTTTTGGAAAATATTGTTTGTGCTGTATTTAGACCCCTCTAACAAGAAATTTGTTTTGCATGCACACGTATAAAAATTGCGGTTTTTATCCAACGCAATCATAGGTTTGAACGTTGTTTTCAATTTAGACTTGTTTATATTTTTTTGTTTGGGCTTGTATTATATTTGCCTTCGGGTTTATATGATCCGTTCATCCTATTTTGACTCCTCAAAATTCAAGAGTCTATCCCAAATTGAGGTAAATTATGTGGCCTTCCAATAACCGTTTTGATTCCTAACATCACTGTAGAGACATTAATTGTCGAAATCCGGATATGGTGAATATTTGCACCTTTGTTTGCGGTATACCATCTTCGCCGCAAGTTTATTGTTTTCTGTTTGGTATTAAATTTAAAGTTTAGATCCATTTATTACACCTTGTGATCCGTTTATTTGGCAATCGCCAATGGCAGTCAGCAGGATTTAAGAACATTTGTTGTTCGACCTGTTAGTCAAATGCGTTTTGTTAAAATATACTTTTTCACTTTTTTGATCTTTTGGAAAATGTTGTTTGTGCTGTATTTAGACCCCTCTAACAAGACATTTGTTTTGCATGCACACGTATAAAAATTGCGGTTTTTATCCAACGCAATCATAGGTTTGAACGTTGTTTTCAATTTAGACTTGTATATATATATATATATATATATATCCTAAATTGAGGTAAATTGTTGGGCTTTCCAAATACCGTTTCGATTCCTAACATCAGTGAAGAGACATTATTTGTCAAAATCCGGATATGGTGTACAAATTTTTGCACCTCATGTTTGCGGTATACCATCTTCTCCGCAAGTTTGTTGTTTTCTGTTTGGTATAAAATTTGTAATTAAGATCCATTTTGTTACATCTGGTGATCCGTTTGTTTGGCAATCGTCATGGCAGTCAGCAGGGTTTAAGAACATCCGTTGTTCGACCTGCTAGTCAAATGCGTTTTGTTAAAATATACGTTTTAACTTTTTTGGTCTTTTGGAAAATGTTGTTTGTGCTGTATTTAGACCCTTCTACCTAGAAATTTGTTTTGCATGCACACGTATAAAAATTGCAGTTTTTATCCAACGCAATCATAGTTTTGAACGTTGTTTTCAATTTAGACTTGTTTATATTTTTCGTTTGGGCTTGTATTATATTTGCTTTAGGGTTTATATGATCTGTTCAACCTATTTTGACTCCTTAAAATTCAAGAGTCTATCCTAAATTGTGGTAAATTGTTGGGCTTTCCAAATACCGTTTCGATTCCTAACATCACTGAAGAGACATTATTTGTCGAAATCCGGATATGGTGTACAAATTTTTGCTCCTCATGTTTGCGGTATACCATCTTTTCCGCAAGTTTGTTGTTTTCTGTTTGGTATTAAATTTATAATTAAGATCCATTTTGTTACATCTGGTGATCCGTTTATTCGGCAATCGCCATGGCAGTCAGCAGGGTTTAAGAACATCCGTTGTTCGACCTGCTAGTCAAATGCGTTTTGTTAAAATATACTTTTTCACTTTTTTGGTCTTTTGGAAAATGTTGTTTGTGCTGTATTTAGACCCCTCCACCAAGAAATTTGTTTTGCAAGCAAACGTATAACAATTGCGGTTTTTATCCAACGCAATCATAGGTTTGAACGTTCTTTTCAATTTAGACTTGTTTGCGGTATATCATCTTTTCCGCAAGTTTATTGTTTTTTGTTTTGTATTAAATCTAAAATTAAGATCCATTTATTACATCGGTGGTCCGTTTATTTGGCAATCGCCAATGGCAGTCAGTTGTTCGACCTGTTAGTCAAATGCGTTTTGTTATAATATACTTTTTAAATTTTTTGGTCTTTTGGAAAATGTTGTTTGTGCTGTATTTAGAACCCTTTAACACGAAATTTGTTTTACATGCACACGTATAAAAAGTGCGGTTTTTATCCAACGCAATCATAGGTTTGAACGTTGTTTTCAATTTAGACTTGCTTATATTTTTCGTTTGGGCTTGTATTATATTTGCCTTCGGGTTTATATGATCCGTTCATCCTATTTTGACTCCTCAATATTCAAGAGTCTATCCTAAATTGAGGTAAATTGTTGGGATTTCCAAATACCGTTTCGATTCCTAACATCACTGAAGAGACATTATTTAGCGAAATCCGGATATGGTGTACAAATTTTTGCATCTCATGTTTGCGGTATACCATCTTTTCCGCAAGATTGTTGTTTTCTGTTTGGTATTAAATTTATAATTAAGATCCATTTTGTTACATCTGGTGATCCGTTTATTTGGCAATCGCCATGGCAGTCAGCAGGGTTTGAAAACATCCGTTGTTCGACCTGCTAGTCAAATGCGTTTTGTTAAAATATATTTTTTCACTTTTTTGGTCTTTTGGAAAATGTTGTTTGTGCTGTATTTAGACCCCTCCACCAAGAACTTTGTTTTGCATGCACACGTATAAAAATTGCTGTTTTTATCCAACGCAATCATAGTTTCAACGTTGTTTTCAATTTAGACTTGTTTGCGGTATTTCATCTTTTCCGCAAGTTTATATTTTTCTGTTTAGTATTAAATTTTAAATTAAGATCCATTTATTACATCGGTGATCCGTTTATTTAGCAATCGCCAATGGCAGTCAGCAGGGTTTAAGAACATTTGTTGTTCGACCTGTTTGTCAAATGCGTTTTGTTAAAATATTCTTTTTCACTTTTTTGGTCTTTTTGAAAATGTTGTTTGTGCTGTATTTAGACCCCTCTAATAAGAAATTTGTTTTGCATGCACACGTATAACAATTGCGGTTTTTATCCAACGCAATCATAGGTTTGAACGTTGTTTTCAATTGAGACTTGTAAAGTTCAAACCTATGATTGCGTTGGATAAAAACCGCAATTTTTATACGTGTGCATGCAAAACAAATTTCTTGTTAGAGGGGTCTAAATACAGCACAAACAACATTTTCCAACAGACCAAAAAAGTGAAAAAGTATATTTTAACAAAACGCATTTGACTAAAAGGTCGAACAACAAATGTTCTTAAACCCTGCTGACTGCCATTGGCGATTGCCAAATAAACGGATCACCGATGTAATAAATGGATCTTTAT